AGCGCAAACTCAATGCGCTGCCATAGGTGTCCACCCAATTGTGTTCTCATTGCAACCCGCAATGAGTCTTGAATTGTCTGGGTCGGCTTATATTTGGAGAACAACAGGTAAAGCTAACATTTTTTGACTCATTTTCATGTCTACGATTATAGTAAGAGGGCTTCTGCTTCCTAAATGAGAGTGATGCAAGCAGTCTGCCAGGAAAGGGAGTGCAATGTTTTGTTTAGTATGGATTTTGGGGGAAAAAAAAAGTGGTTTTTACACTCACTTTACCTCTAAAATAAGTGGATATGTAGAAAGTAAAAACACAGAATCCATATCATTTTTCTCTTATGCTCCCCTATGGCAAATTCAACCAGGTCCTAGTAAGGAGATTTTATCCCAGTAAGAATAAAAGGAGGAAAGACAGCCTGTGAGGAAGAGGAAAATGCCCGTCAGTCTTCCCATGGTTAAATCCCAAGCACTGGAAATGCCTTTTTCACTGGGGAGGGTGGCTCATTGCTGGTATATGTACAAATGTGCTTAATCAGCAAGGAAACACCACAGGCATTTGCATTGCCTTGTGCAACACTCAAAATCTCACAATTTTCATCAGCTGGTGACAGGGGTTATATTTTTTTTGTGCATGAACATGAAAATTAAAATCGCTTTGATGTTTTCTCCATGCAGGTCTTAGTGGCTGCACTCTGTTCCGCAGGTGGCACCGGGAAATACACTGACGTTTTATTAAAGTGGTGTCCCTGCAGGACGGGTAGCGCTGGAGGCACTGACAGGCAAACCATGTAAAACTCACTGCGTAAAGACTGCCTCACTACCCTTTTCATTCCTCTCCGCTCAATGCAACTTAGTCATAGCTTTAGTTAAAAAAAAAAAAAAAAAGAAAAGGTTTTTTTGGTGCCATAATGTTCCATCTGTGCTTTCCTGAAGACATTTCCAGAGCAAATCCTCAGCACAGCCTCTATGATGATCAATTTTTGTGCACACAAGATTCACAGCTGTGGTGGTGACTGCAGAGCTGTCAGCCTGGCTGCCCCTCRCGTGCCCAGCTCAGGGGCAAATGCAAAGCTTAGGTTTCAAGGGCTGCCGTCTATTTGCTGGGGGATAATGGATGGGAATGCTGCTTTTATTAGATTACTATAAAAAAAGTCTTCAGTTTTTAGTAATCAATGATAGAAAACTTGCTCCGATACGACTGTACAGTTGAGAGAGCTCAGATGAACCCAATGGTGTTCATTTGGGAACCAACCCAACTTTTAATGCTCCTGAAGCCTGAGCACAGTGAAGGCTTCATTAGGATCTTGGGCAAATCTTGTAATTTCTCGGCATCTCTGTTTTGATCATTTATACAGAAATCCCTTCAGGTTGTGCATTTCCTGTGGAACCTGTCTTCAGGYCAAAGAAGACCCAAAATGGGTCTTTCTCTGATTTTCCCAGGTAGGTCTGCCGTTAGCACCTCTTCCTCGAGGACAGGGAGCTTTTCCCAAGGGAGAACTTCATGGCATGGATTAGTCCACCAGAAATCTGTGCAGCGCAGAATAACAAGGAGCAGATTATCCTGCTAATAAATTAATGAGAAGTACTGATGAAGAATTCTTCTAACTCTCATGAAAAATAATGTTTCGGAAGAGTTATGCATGGTTAGTGTTTCAAGGACACCATGGGATTCAGATTGCTTTTAGTACTCTGAGTCACTAAATCCTATCACTTTTTATTTAACACTATGTACTTTATACAGAGGGACTTTACTGTACTTTACCGATAAGCCACCTGCAGTGACAACTCTTTTTTTTCCAAGCAGATGGTGCTGTGATGAATAATCCAAAGTTCAGGAATCATGGCACCTTTCTGAAAAATTTTCCCAGTTGTTTATAATGAGATTTCCTTGATTGTACTGCATTTGCTCCTCCATGGGCCCTCCTGTTAGCAAGTCCCCCAGCTGGTGATGTTTGCACTGCAGTGATGCTCAGCCTGTTCCTTGAGGAGCTGTGATCGTCCCCAGACTTGGTCCCGATGGTTGGGCTCTCCTTTATACTTTCCAGAGGAGACWTCAGAGATGCAGCTATAATAAGCCACCAAAAGCAAAGCAAAAGTGAATAATGTGAGTTCTCATTATGAGTTWACTTGGAAAAAACATGAAAAACTACATATATAGAGAGAGAGAGTTTTATTATTATTATTATTAATAATAATAATAATAATATATTTGGTCATTGAAGGATCACGTGTAAAACCAGGTAATACTCTGTAAAACAGAGGAATCTTTTCCTGGAAGAAGGACCTGGCATTAGCCTCAGGCTTTAGCCTAAGGGTCCTGGAGGAGCTTGTCTGTGGCTGGAGCCCCCAGAGTCAGCCCGGAGACAGCTCTGTGCCGCTTCCAGCAATTACAGAAATGGGAAAGTGGAAAAATGAAATGGAAAATGCAGTTATATGGTCAATTAATTAATCTGCGGAAATCTGTGGAACCCAACTCATAACTTAATTAGTCTTATCATGCTTGCCCAGCAGCTCACCCCTTTGCTGACACTTAGATTTTGCCTATTTTCTTACAAGCTAAACCCCGGGGTTAGAATAGTGTCACACCAGCTGTGTTGTGTACACGTGAATCATTCTTTTAAATTTTATTTAGTAAATCAGATCCCTATATGAGATAAAATAATGGCTTATTTAAGAATACTATAGGGAAAGATTAAAAAAAAATTCAAAATAAATAAAAAGGCATGTATCTTTCATCTGGATATATTTTTTCAATAGATCAGATCTTACCAAGAACTTTATAAAAGTGGCGATYGTAGCTGTGCTAACAAAGAGGAAATTGTACCAATCTATATTATACCTATATATGTTATTATACTAGGTCTAATAAGCTATAGTATACCTATATGATATGATATATTAATTCGACCAATTTATTAGCGTAATAAAGAGAAAGTTATAGCAGACCATACCTGAGCCAAAAAGAGGAAAATATAATAGTGCTTAATACCTAGGAGCCCAAGCTCAAACCCTGTGATCACAGTTGGGGATGACCCTCAWCATATGTTCCCATAAGAAATACTACTTAAACTTCCTAAGCTTCTTAAACTGCTAAGCAGTTTCCTACAGTTGGCCTTTGCTTTCCTTTCCCGAGAGACCTGGACTTCCCTTTTATCAAAATTTCCATACCTGTGAGAGAGAGATTTCACACTCACACATTCAGTGGTAAATATATGGTTATCTTTGGTGGTGATTTTTAACAATCTTGCTTGAAATAAAATTTTGCTTGAGCTGAAAAAACAGCATAGATAAATATATGTACATATATTTTAAAGCTTTTAGTAAAAGCTTTAGTATTTAGTGTCTGTCTATCTATTTATCTATCTATCTACAAGCTGTTACGTATATTCTTCTGTTTGATACCTCCCTCTTTTCCTTTTGAGTTCCCAAAGGAATATTGAGAAAATGACCAGTCWATACAAAATTATTAAAGTGTATTTAATATGCAATTTTCATGCAGGTATTTTTAGTAAGCTAAGTAAAACTAAGTGTTTCCTTTCACAGCGCACCATCGTGAAACTTTAATTTATATGTTAATTTTTTAATTAAAGGAAAAAAAATCATAGAAAAGGGCCATAATGGACTAATGTTAGACTTAAAGGTGATTGCTGAGAAATATAACAGTCTGTACAGTCTCTCTTAATGTCCCAGTTTCCTAAAGATGGACAGTGAACCCTAATGCTGACTCTGAAGCATTTCCTATTTTAATACTGTTTTAATATGCTATTAACAGCATTTGCCATAAAAAAAAATCAGCTTGTGCAACTAAAGCYGCCAGTCTTGGCTAAGAATTCTTACTTCTAAGCTATAATTTCCAAGCTAAAATCCTTGGAATTTATAATCACATTTAGGTCCCACTGTTTCAAATGGACAAGCCCTTGCAGCAACCTTCCCRATGTCCAGTGCTCCAGGCCCGCTTTAGAGCTGCTAGGAGTAATCAAGCGACCGCTTTCTTGAGCTTTTCTCTATTTTTTTTTTTATTTCTGTATTTTATCTTTTCTCTATTAAACCACCTTTCACATACTAGCTTCTAAAAATAGCTTGACACCCCCATGTTAAGGTCAATGAACTTTATACTTCTTATCTCTGCTTTGTTCCTCTTCTATACATCGGCAAATATTGCCTTGGTACAACTGCGGTGGAGCCATGATTTGATTGCTGAATTACAGGAACATGATTGCACTGAGCTTGGKAAAGGGAAGCAAAGGACGAAGGTCAAAGCAAACCGAAAGAGTGGAAAAGTGGCTTCTTTTGGTAGCCACGAGTGGCCACACACTCTGGAGGTGGGAATGCGGGGCCTGGAGCCAAGCAGAGGTGGAGGATGCATTTTGTAAGGGGGAAAAGTGTGTATAGACACACTTTTTTTATTTACCTGCTCTCCTCTGCCTATTTTACTTGAGTTTGTATCTCAAAACATTCTCAATTTAAACAAGCTCTCAATAATTGTGGGTGATTTCCTATTTTATGCCTTAAGGCAGGGAGGACACACTAAGGGACATATTCTGGGTACCAGTTTTCACCCTGACTTCAAGGAGGACAACATAGGTGCTTTGAGATGCCCCAAGCTGAGCAGGGCTGCTGGTGCTTCCCTGCTCCCTTTTTTCTTTCTACTACAGCTGCTTTTAAGGAGGAATAACTAAATATGGAGAAAAGAGAAGTCTGATGTGCTTTGAGAGTATCCAAACCTTGAGCAATACCGCTGTAAAAAAATAAAGTTTGGGTTAGCTCTCTGTGGGAAGAAGGACATAAAGGGATTATCATATCATGCTTATAATTCTGTTTATCTTTTCCACCTACAAAACAGTTGCCCCGTGCCAAAACCAGCCGCTTTTTCTCCCCGTTCCCMATGGAATCTACTGCCCACTTTGCCCCCAAGAGGGGCTTCTCCCGGCGGCGTTTCCGAGCCCCGGGGCCGATGTCAGGGCTGCGTCCGGCTCGAGTTGCGGCTGCCAGCTCTCGCGAGCGCTGTGTCAGAGGCAGCGATTACAATGTCAGGACTGTCCCGGCGGCTGCGTTCCCACGCCCGGACATCCCGGCTCCGGGAGACGTGGTGGCTCCGGGAGCGGAGCGGGGTGAGTGTTCCCGTCTCGTGTGACGGCGGCGGCCGCTCGCCTCGGTTTGCGTGGGSATTGGGAGCTTTTTGAGTGTTTTGCTCTGCCCGTTTGTTGCTCTCTGGGGAAAACTCCAGCCTGCGGAGGGAGGGAGCGGGCAGGAGAGCCTGGGCTGAGGAAATCACTTATCAATTCAACCATCTTTTCTATTTAAATAGCAAGTGCAGAGTCTCGTGCATAGATTTCTTGACTTGGAGAAGGTTTGTGAGGAAGAGGGGAGCAGTGATTGAAATAAATTCTGTCCCCTTGCTGAATGGGAATGTGAAAGTGCGTTTTGGTTAACTTCTGCCAGCCGAAACTCATGCAGGAGTGGCTTTTTGAAGCGTGCAAAGACATTATACATCTGCACTTGGTGAAGACTGATGAGCCAAAACAATCTCCTGACTCTTTTGCTCTCCTGGTAATACTCACGGAATGTTTGTTTTGCTCCTTGTGCCTTACATTGCTGAGTTTGTTTTCATGCAGCGTTGCAATCGTTATTCAATGTAATATTTGCCATACGTTCCGGGTGTACTAGTAATGCTCCGTCACTTGCTGCTTTTGTCAATATTAGCAAAGTAACTTGAAACTAGGCACAGCCCTTCATTCAGTAGTTTAAACCTCCTGGATTTTTCAAGCTTGATCTGTTTCAAACTTTTCCTTTAAAATACCACCCATTTTATAGTGGAGCTAAGGTACAGAACTTTKTTGTTGTTGTTGTTGTTAATTAKTYTATTTTTCCTTAGCATTCTTATGTGAAACATTTTAGGATCAGCATTTATGGCTCCATGTTTTGAAGTGCTGGTGTGCTTTACTCTTATCCCACTCTTTTCAACATTGATTTTTAGATATTAAAAGCTTTAAATACTTTAACCTCTTCTGCTTTCCCTAGAGCCACTTGTTTTTCTTTGCARTGATGATATTAGAAAGCCCTGATTGCCTCTTTTGCTGCTGTTGCTGGTTGATATGTTGAAAATGGGGGAAAAAAAGAAAAGAAAGAGCTTGTGCAGTAAGAGCCTTATAAAACTGGCTTTTCCCATCACAAGGAGCACTGCGTGGGATGCAATGTGTGCAGCCAGATTGCTACTGCAAACTTGGATGGGTTTCATGGCCACCTCAGCTGCAAGAAAGCATGGTGTAAAAGTTTAATCCTGCCTTCCCATGACTTTAAGGGTTTTATTGGAACAGGGCATGGGCAAGATGCAGCCTCTGGGCTCCGTGCACCAACTGAGCAGTCYCCACTTCATCTGTCCAGCTGGAAGGTTCCTGATCCACAGATCTTAGGGAACTGCTGGGGAAACTGCTCAAAATCTATTGCTCTTGCTCCCTACCTTGTCATTTTTTTACATGAAAACAAACAAGCAAACAAAAACAACCAAAKGAAACAGAACTAAACATTTATTTTTCCCAATTTTATCTGTTTTAGCACATCCTCTGAATATTCTTCTCTGTTCTGATTCTATCTCAAATTCAGGAGCATCTTTGAGCAAAATGTTCCTTCTTCTTCTTCTTCCCCTTTTCCCCTGCATTTTCTCAGCTTGTTTCCAATAATATGCAAACAAGCATGAGTTACTCATTTTGGGTGCACAGCTGTACTTTCCACAGAAATTAGACTCATTCCTTTTAAGGACACAAGTGCTTCTTATTAACAAAGAGTGGACTGTTTAAAGTGGCAGGGCTTAGTACACCGAGTACAATAGGATGGCAAGCAAAAAAATAGAAGGAAGCTTTGTTGARCATTTTCAAATATGTAAGCTGCAGAAATTTGTGAGTTTTTTTTGTAATGTTAATGTATACATTATAACATTATAAATTATTAGGGTAGCAAATGTTAATGCAATTTAATAACGTTATAAATTATTAGGGTAAATAGGACTATTGGTAGGCTTGAATGGTGTACAGAATCAGAGTCCATATCCTTAGTTTGAAGATAATATTAATTATCTTGTACTAGAAAAAAAAATCTCTCAGGAAGCAAGAGCCATACCATAAATCATTAGGCACTTCCTACACAGATCAGAAAAATCCATATGTATTTTTAGCATGTCAATGTTCATTTTAAGATGCAGAAGTATGACAACTTCTTGTGAACGTGGTGGTTACAAACCAGGTTAAGTTACCTCATAGAAATAAGATCTGGAAGGAAATGTGGCATGTAGGTCTTGGCATTTCTCTGTGGAGAGTCACCCCTAAGAGCTAATGACCTTGCACTCACTAGAGGAACTTCATGCATTTCACTTCCTACAAGCACCTCCAAATTGTAAGACATATGAGCAGGACACCACAACTACCTGCTGCCTTTTCAAGTTCATGGCAATTCTCTTTTTTTCTGCAGGCCAGGCATGTGCTGTGACACAAGCAGGTAGCTCAAAACTTCCTTGAGCCTAGAAATCCTTGGATTAAAACATGAGAACAAGCTCCTTTCCAGCTTGGAAGAGRTATCATCATGGGATACATGTTAATATGTGGAAAAATAAGTGTGTATTGATGCTGATTATTCCCTTTTATTGACTGGAGAATACAGATTGGCAAATAAATCTTGAACAGAATAGTGGCTAATCAGGCATGGCATTTTCTATCACAGATCATAAAATGTTCTATTCATCGAGCAATGAAGTCATCTGTTAACTAAGCAAAGCATGATGAAAACATGATGGCCAAATATTGCTGATGGAGGGAGAGATTGCTGGTGTTTGGGAACAAGAAAAAAAAAGAAAGAAAACAGGCCTCCTAGACATAGCAAAATCTCTGCTCTCTCTGCTCTGTTGTAATGTAGTGTAGTATAATCTACTTGTGGATCTACAAGTAGAGTGGCACGAGAAGAATCAGACCATGGATATGGGACYCATGGGCCACTCCTTGTGTGGCCTTTCCCTCTGTAGCCTGGTTTCCTCACTTCTACGTTTTTTAGGGACAGGGATGTTTTGAAGGGCTGTATTATGAACCGGGGAAAATGTGCCATTTTCTCCCCAAAGTTCCTTTATATTTAGGACCAGTCACCAGTCTTGGCAACATGAAAAAAGTGTATGATTTTATCCAAAGGATACAGGGACATCTGGAGCAACTAGTCTGTTAGTCCTCTAAGCGAACGTCTCTAGGTCCTCTTCTGCAAATTTCAAGGCTCACATTATAATCTGAAGAGCCTCTTTCAGCTCACTGCTCCTACAAAAATTGTTTTAAAATCTGAAACCAGCTGTCAGTAAAACTTTGGTACAGCTGAAATTTTCCAGGGCAATTGTGGCATCTCTATACCTGGAGACACTCAAAGTTGGAGAAGGCCCTGAGCAACATCCAAATCACAAGTCTGCCTGGTTTTAAGTGGGATTTGGCCCAGAGGTCAAAAATCCCAGTGGTCATTCCCACCTAAACTATGAGTCTAGGAGCCTATGCTAAATACGAACCATGGTTTTGCAACCAAACAAATTGCTTATAGTCAAGGGCTCCTGAGCCCTGGGATGCTTTGTGCTCATCAGCTCTTGTTCCCAGGGCCTTGAGAAGGATCTACATGTGTAGAAGTGTTTCTGAAGAAACACTTTTCACTCCAGTGAAAATTCACACACAAATTCTGAATTTCTTGGTTTTTTTTTCTTTTTTTTTTTTTTCCCCAGACACCATGATTTGGAAAAATGATAGAAGTGTCTCTATCAGATTTCTTGTGTGGTTTCTCCTGTGCGCATTCATCAGCAAGGCGCTTTCCGAAGACAACATCATTACAAYGAAGCGAGGCAAAGTACGGGGAGTGAACCTGCAGGTGCTTGGGGGAACGGTGACAGCCTTCCTTGGGATTCCTTATGCACAACCGCCCGTTGGCAGGTTGAGGTTTCAAAAGCCAGAACCTCATGAGAAGTGGTCAGACGTCTGGGATGCCACGAAACATGCCAACTCTTGTTACCAGCCTATAGACAATGCTTTCCCTGGATTTTCTGGATCAGAGATGTGGAACCCCAAAACAAACCTGAGTGAAGACTGCTTATACCTTAATGTATGGATTCCCTCTCCCAGAACCAAGAATGCAACTGTAATGGTGTGGATATATGGAGGGGCCTTTGAGAGTGGGTCAACTGCCCTGCCTGTCTATGATGGCAAGTTTCTGGCGAGGGTGGAAAGAGTCGTCGTTGTTTCCATGAACTACAGGACTGGAGCACTGGGATTTTTGGCTTTGCCAGGAAACAAGGAAGCTCCTGGAAATGCGGGCTTATTCGACCAAAGATTAGCACTTCAGTGGGTCCAGGAGAACATAGCAGCCTTTGGGGGCAATCCAAGAAGTGTTACTATATTTGGAGAGAGCGCTGGCTCGGCGTCTGTCAGTTACCATATCCTTTCTCCTGGAAGCTATTCTTTGTTCACAAGAGCCATCATGCAGAGCGGATCTGCAAACGCCCCTTGGGCTGCAATACCACCGTGGGARGCTAGGAACAGGACGGTGGCTTTAGCTAAGCATTTCCAGTGCCCTACCGACAATGAGACAGAGCTAATCCTCTGCCTCCGAGACAAGGACCCCCAGGATATAGTGGACAGTGAAGTTTTTGCTGTCACACACGAATCTCTTCTTAAAATATATTTTTGTCCAACTGTAGATGGTGATTTTCTTTCGGACATGCCAGASACGCTGGTTGAAAATGGTGATTTTAAGCAAACGCAGCTCTTAGTTGGCGTCAACAAAGACGAAGGAACAAGTTTTCTAGTCTATGGAACACCTGGCTTTAGCAAAGATAATGATAGCTTGATCAATAAAACAGAATTTAGAGCAGCTTTACAATATGTCTTCCCAGAAGCAAGCCCACTTGCACTGGAATCAATCATTTTTCAGTACACAGACTGGGAGAATGAGCACAAACCAGAACATTATCGTGATGCCATGGATGACGTCGTTGGAGACTACATTATAATATGCCCTGTTGTGGAATTCGCAAAAAAATTTGCACAACTAGGACACAACGCGTTCTTCTACTTCTTCGATCATCGACCCTCAAAGCTCGAGTGGCCGGAGTGGATGGGAGTGATGCACAGTTGTGAAATTGAGTTTGTGTTTGGACTACCCTTAGAAAGAAGAGCCAACTACACTAAGGCTGAAGAAGTCTTAAGTAGGTCCTTAATGCGGTACTGGGCAAGTTTTGCAAAAACGGGGTAAGTTTCCTGTAGGCGTTTGCTTGATTACGTTTTCACAGTCATAGAAACCTTGCCCATACTGGGTGTGATTTGAAGCCTGATGAGAGCTATGAGGAAGGATTAATTGTCCAGCTAGCCAGAATTCCTCTTTTAGCTCTGATAAAAACATTGTCTTACTAAAATAAACTGTTGGCATGGAGCTCACTGCATTGGATGAGCTTAAGAAAATACTGTGTACCCRCCTATAAAAGCAAATACTAAACATTTTTTGCCATGGCAGCAGCTGTTGCTAAGGTAGGTTAATGTTTCAAGCTYTGGAAACAAAATATATCAGTCTTTTCGAAGTAAGAGAGGAAAAACAGCTTACTTTAAGATGTACCATGMCCAGAACATGCAGGTGGATTATATCAAGGTATATTAGCTTCRTGCTATGAATAAACTGATTGCAGGCTGTGTTTTTCCAGCTTTACATGATGTTCTAAGTGTGATCCAGGGTTTCAGTGAAGTCAGTGACAAATCACTTGCTTTTCCCCTTTGACTCATCTTTAAATGCAATGTGGCCCAACCAGGCCGAGAACCAAATACGTGTGTTTGATCTGGACGCATGAGGCGGTTTGAATTCATCGCTGCATTTAGGGGGAATCGAAGGTTACGTAGTGGTTTGTAGAGGCTGAAGTCAGCTTTGAAATTGGACCTTATTTTTTTTGTTAGCAGGTTAATGGATCAGAAATCAGAAGAGACTTTTGTGCTTGTTTAGTCCATATCATCTTATACATTACACAAAGCACAGGGCTTAAACATTTCCAGGCATGGAAAATGCAGCCCAAAACTAGCAGGTTGTTCTGCAGATTCGTTACACTCCCAGTTGAAAAGAGTTTTCTTTCTGGGATGAATTTGTATATTCCAGTTTTCTAGCTGCTATAATTTGTTAATCTTTGACAATTTCTTAAGCTTTTTATTACTAAATTTGTGCTCCCTGTGGAGCTAGTTCTAGACTACCGGAATAGTGTTTAAACCTTTTGTTTGTCAAACAACAATGAAGAGCACAAAGTTTGTGCTCTTGAGTCCTTCACTATGGCACGTATTTTTTCAAGCACTTTAATAGTAACTGGCTTATTCCTGTGGCTGGAGGGTAAGAGGAATAACTTAGGTTGTTTTATGAGCAAAGGAAATGGCAGGCATTGATTGGCAAGAGACATTTGATAGACTTCTTTTTGCGTTCACTTTTTGACAGGACAAGGCCCTTGGTGAGGGCGGACTGAGCAGAGGCTCCTTATGAGGGTCACTTAACGCCATCCAAAAAGTGCAACTCTTTCCATTATGTAAAAGTATTTATTAGTAGGGCAAGGGAAATTTGAGTCAAAGATAGGTTTTACAAAGCCAACTTACATTTTTGTGAGGGTCTGGTTTCTACTATAACATAAACACATATGCACACTCACTCCCGCGTCCCACTTACCTGCTGCAGGAAACGCAGTTCCYGTATCGGGCTAAAATTAGACAACATGAGGTACATTCAGGTTTAAGTTTATGAGAAACTTTAGCCACCGGTCTTGTCGTCTAGCCTGATTATCATTTGCACTGTAATTAGATTAGCCTACAGGTCGAATTTCAAGCGGTTTCCACAGCAAACAGCAAATAATCCCTCCCTCTGTTTCTACTACAAGCATCAAAACCATGACTATTATGGGAGATAATATAATCATACGGTCTGAGTACCACTAAAAGCAGAGATCAGTATTAACCCTCTATGCATCACTTTCCTCATAATCCAGATCACAGATCCCCATTAGGCTCTGTAATAAATTATCCACAGTGTAGAAGGAGAAAAGAAATAATAGACATAATTAATAATTCCAAAATAAATAGCTGATTACTTTTTTCTTGGCACTTTTTTTGCACACTGTAAATATTTATAAAGRACTGGGGAAGCCCTCCTTGCATTTGACATCTGTTTATAGTAAACTCTGGTGTGATCAAAGGACAAACATCTGGGGGAAAAAATTTGCTTTGCCATTGATGTCTGCAATGTATGAGGAGAAAATTAGGCAAAAAGATGAAAATCAGAAATATGGTACAGCACAAGTTTTAGTGAGGGCGTCTGACCTAATATTCTAATGTGCGTTAGTACAAAAGCGCTAAGGGAGGAAAGAGAAGCCTGCAGGGAAAAAAAAAAAGAAGTTAAAAAAAAAAAAGAAAAAGGAAAAAAGAGAGAAGGTAGAMTCAACACAGGCTGGCATGAGTGAGTTGTGCCTGGGGACCTTCTCCTTGCCAGGACAGGGTGCTCCGGAGCCCCTTTGGTGCTGCAGCCCCTGGATCCACCACTCTCACAAGGGGCTTAAAGCCCCAGATCTGGCCCTGGTGCTCTCTATTTTTCCTTTCTACATGACCACTGGGATTAAAAATGGCAATAGCAAAAGTCCAGGGTTTATATCCTACACATAGGATTACTACTCCTATGTATAGGAGTAGTAATCATTTCACATCCTTGCTAAACAAGAATAGCTATGATAACTGAGCCATTTTATTTTATTTTATTTTATTTTATTTTATTTTATTTTATTTTATTTTATTTTATTTTATTTTATTTATTTTATTTTATTTATTTTATTTTGCTGGAAAATTATTGGGGTAGAGCTTTTCTGATTTTCTATCATACTATTATTCATTTTCTCTGCCTAAAGACATAGTGTAATTTTTTTAAGACCCTGCTATACATTTGTGCAGGTGTCTCTAACGCCTATGCAGACCCTGCTGCCGTGTCCTCCTCAGACAACAGGCCACTGCCTTTTGTTCTCAAGGTCCCCTGCAGATGCACTTACCCAAAACAGAGCTCAGGGAGCTGGGGGTCACCGTGAAGGGCTTTGCAAGGAGGCTGAAGTCCCGTTCAGGAGGTTGTTTCTTCAGGAAACGGTGCAAATTGYCCCTCAAGAGCAGCTCTTGACCCAGGGACCACATGAAGATGCGGATGTGGCACCTCMCTGTGCTCTTGCACGCAACCACTCATCCCCAAATGCCACCACCCTTGTCCTACTGCCTCTTCATGGCAGAGTCGGAGATGGATGGGAAAGCGAGACATTTCTCATGTGTYCTGGCTGCTTGAGCAGTGACATGAGAGAACTTGAGAGAAGGAGAGCCTGGCAGGCCCRCGTGGTTCCTAGGTGTGATGTTCAGGATCCGTCTGTGGGAATATTATTACTTATGCTAACCCCATGAGGTAACTCAACTGCCTTCTATTCCCTTACAGAGGTGGATCCCCACAAAAAAAATATATGCATGGACCATCTTAAGAGCAGATATAATGAATCGTACATATTATTACTATTATTATTTAGCAAACTATTTCAGTTATTCTACTTTTGTTCTGAACAAAGTATATCATTTAGAGCATCCTTACAGGGTCCTAATGGCACTTTGGGCACTGGAGATGGAGTAGAACAAGTATAATAATGTGTTTGGCTTAGGAGAGAGAACRGATTCCCAAAATTGATCACAGTGACCTAAATTTTGATTTAAAAATCTTCCATTTACCTCCATTTGCCCAGGCCTCCTCAGCCAGTTCTTGTGTTTGTGCCTATTGGCATTTGAGTATCAATTAGAGAACAGTCTGAAAAACATTTGAGTATATTCCTGAAATGTCAAAATTATGCAGAAAAAACAGATTCAGCCAAATTACACTCAGCAGGAAGCCTAAGTGTGACACCACTATCACCTGGGAGAGCAGCATGAGGCTCACTACGCTTACAGGTGAACACAGATTAAGCTCATTTTAGCAATATCGAGCTAGTGTTGATCAGCTTTCTCCCTTCCTCTAAGTCTTCCTTTAAATAAGGTCCAYGGTGAGGGAGATTTCTCCTTTAGAATACTTCTAGAACTCATTTCTCTGCTTCACTTTTGATGTTCTTCAGAAAGCTTTTCAAAGTAAGCAAGTGACACTAACAGGTCCTATCAATCACCAGCAGCAGAATGCTCTGCTACCTCCAGTAAGACGCAGCTTTATTTATCATCAAAAAATATATGGCATCCCAAATCAGCAGTTGCTAGGCTATGACTGTGGCATTACTTTATTCATTAGGTTTAGTAACTGTATTTTTTAGACATGAGTGAAGTAAACTGACAAGGAGACAGACAAATCAGTTGAGATGAAAACTCGGATAAGAGCGTRGTGGAACATACAAAGATAATATTTTTTAAGGCTTTGTGAAAAATGTTTCCTATAAAAGGGAACTGGCAAAACTTGTCCCACTGCCAATTTTACAACTGATGAAACAAATCTTTGCAGCTTTTTCTATAAAGCAAAGCCTTTGAAATATTTCCTCCTACGTTTTAGGGGAATTCGAGAGGCTTTGATTGTCCCTCTAAAGCTCGGAAGCACTTTGCCTGGTTATTACTGCCTTTCCCTGATGTTTTACCCATAGACATATAATAAACTTGAGTACTTTTGTTACCAACTTGGTGCCACATGTTTATAGAGTAGTGAAAACAAGAGGCTCTTACAGTGCCCAGGTCACAGGGTGAGCTAGGGACCCATATCTGGTACTCGTGGAAAGAACATATTGAAGAAAGCAAAAGTGCAAAAAAAAAAAAAAAATCACAACTTCCAACTTCCTTTCTATTTTCCTAGTACTTGAGAAACTAGGCAGACCTGAGACCTGGTGTTGATCCTCACAGGTCCCTTTGATTGTGAACAGAAAGGATTTATGGTTTAGTAAACACTGTTTTCTATACCCGTTTCTCTATCTTCACTTAATTTTGGGTCATTTAATTGAACTTCACATGTTTTTCGTATCTGTATGTTGTTATACTAAGGAACAGTAATGGAAACCTGCTTTTAGCTAGCTAATATATTTGGAAATAGTGCATCATGGAAACATCAGTAACTGGAGACTCTCACTTGGCAGTTACCTCGCTTGCTGGCCTGCAAGCTGCCAAGCTGTCACAGAATTCCAAAACTGAAACCATGAATATTTGGTCCAGTCATTTTTATTGTGAAATACGCCTAGGATACAAATTGCTTA